ATCAACACTGAAGATACAACAAGGGCCTCTGCAACGACTGCAACAATGCCATTTACAACGAAAGAAAGAACAACTTACAAAACAGTACTGGAGACGCTGTCTACAACCCTCGGTCCTACAACAAGAGCCTCCACAGTACAACCTACTGCAACCATGCCATTTACAACAACTGATTCGACAACTCGTCAGTTTACAACCATAACAACACAACCGGAGACGACTGTGCCAACCGCAGGTCTTACAACAAGGCCATCCACAACAGGATCTACTGAAACAACGCCATTTACAACCACCCGTAAAAGTACATATGATCAGAGCACTTCTCAAGCAACAAAAAATAAAACAACAACGAGCGAGATGACTACCCTAACAACGAAACCACAAATGACAGACGAAACCACTCGTCCTACAATGAGGGCCTCTACAATTGTATCTACAGAATCAATGCCATTTACAACAAGTGAAAGCACATCTTACCAGAGCACAGCTGAAACTACTTCCAGAACTGTTGGTCATACAACAGGACCTATGACCTCTACTGCTGGATCAACAGTCAAAGATACAACAAGGGCCTCTGCAACAACTGCAACAATGCCATTTACAACGAAAGAAAGAACGACTTACAAAACAGTCCTGGAGACGCTGTCTACAACCCTCGGTCTTACAACAAGAGCCTCCACCGTACAACCTACTGGAACCATGCCATTTACAACAACTGATTCTACAACTCGTCAGTTTACAACTATAACAACACAACCGGAGACGACTGTACCAACCGCAGGTCTTACAACAAGGGCTTCTACAACAGGATCTATCCCAACAATGCCATTTACAACGACACGAGAAAGTACATATGATCAGAGCACATCTAAAGCAACAACAAATGAAAGAACAACTAGCGAGATAACTACTGCAACAACGAAACCACAAACGACAGACGAAACCACTCGTCCAACAATGAGGGCCTCTACAATTGTACCTACTGGAACAATGCCATTTACAACAAGTGAAAGCACATCTTACCAGAGCACAGCTGAAACTACAGCCAGAACTGTTGGTCACACAACAGGACCTAGGACCTCTACTGCTAGATCAACAGTCAAAGAAACAACAAGGGCCTCTGCAACAACTGCAACAATGCCATTTACAACGAAAGAAAGAACAACTTACAAAACAGTACTTGAGACACTGTCTACAACCCTCGGTCCTACAACAAGAGCCTCCACCGTACAACCTACTGCAACCATGCCATTTACAACAACTGATTCTACAACTCGTCAGTTTACAATGATAACAACACAGCCGGAGACGACTGTGCCAACCGCAGGTCTTACAACAAGGGCTTTTACAACAGAATCTACCCCAACAATGTCATTTACAACGACACGTGAAAGTACATATGATCAGAGCACATCTAAAGCAACAACAAATGAAAGAACAAGGAGCGAGATAACTACTATGACAACGAAACCACAAACGACAGACGAAACCACTCGTCCTACAATGAGGGCCTCTACAATAGTTCCGACTGGAACAATGCCATTTACAACAACAAGTGAAAGCACATCTTACCAGAGCACAGCTGAAACCACAGCCAGAACTGTTGGTCATACAACAGGACCTAGGACCTCTACTGCTAGATCAACAGTCAAAGATACAACAAGGGCCTCTGAAACAACTGCAACAATGCCATTTACAACGAAAGAAAGAACAACTTACAAAACAGTACTGGAGACGCTGTCTACAACCCTCGGTCCTACAACAAGAGCCTCCACCGTACAACCTACTGCAACCATGCCGTTCACAACAACGACTGATTCGACAGCTCGTCAGTTTACAACTATAACAACGCAATTGGAGACGACTGTGCCAACCGCAGGTCTTACTACAAGGGCTTCTACAACAGAAGCTACCCCAACAATGCCATTTACAACGACACGCGAAAGTACATACAAGCAGAGCACATCTAAAGCAACAAAAAAGGAAAGAACAACTAGCGAGATAACTACTGTGACAACGAAACCACAAACGACAGACGAAACCACCCGTCCTACAATGAGGGCCTCTACAATTGTACCTACTGGAACAATGCCATTTACAACAAGTGAAGGCACATCTTACCAGAGCACAGCTGAAACTACAGCCAGAACTGTTGGTCGTACAACAGGACCTAGGACCTCTACTGCTAGATCAACAGTCAAAGATACAACAACGACATCTGCAACAATCCACTGCAACACTGCCATTTACAACGAGTAAAACAACAACAAATCAGTTGACAACTCACAAAACAGCCCTAGAGACGCAGGGTACAACCTCAGGCCCTACAACAAGAGCCTCCACCGTACAACCTACTGCAACCATGCCATTTACAACAACTGATTCGACAACTCGTCAGTTTACAACTATAACAACACAACCGGAGACGACTGTGCCAACCGAAAGTCTTACGACAAGTACCTCCACGACAGAAGCTACCCCAACAATGTCATTGACAACGACACATGGAAGGACAACGAGCAAGAAAACTACTATAACAACGCAACCACAAACGACAGTCGAGACCACTCGTCCTACAATAAGGGCTTCTACAATAGTACCTACTGGAACAATGCCATTTACAACAAAAAATGAAAGAACAACAAGAACATCAGGAGATATAACTGAGACGACAACACCAAACAGGACGCCAGTAAAAGCCACGTCAGAGGGGCCCATGGAACTTTGTAAGTTCTGAATATCATTCCTTGTCTGTATTGCCCCTAGGTCTTGATTCAGGATAATATACGTATATTGTTGTATCCGTTTTAGTGTGACCTCAATTACTAACCAGAGTACAGTCTTGGGTATTTTTCAGTAAAACATTATGTTCTATGAGGAGAATAAAAACCTATAAGAGTGAATTGGCACTACAGTTTTTGGACTTACAACTGCTAAACGCCCAAAGATTCTCTTCATCTCCTACTAACCAAACCGGTACTAGGGTAAGTATGCCTTATAAAAGGGTTGTGATTATATATGAGACATCTAACTAATTATTGCACATATCATCATATATCCTGACAAGTAAGCTAGCGCTGACCATTTATCACAAACTGTCTTCTAGTCGCATAAACTGCTAAAGTGCATACTTCGAGATCTCAAGATGCAGTTCAAAGGGTCACCGCGTTTGCCATCATTACGATTTATTAACCAAGTATAATCATTCAACCTCCCCTTTCAATAGTGTTTGACTATAATGTCACGCAAGTGGAGGTAACGACATGGCTCTCAAACGTGGATGTGGAACTATCCGAGGAACTTCATCTGGAACAATTCGAGGTGTCGCTAACAGAGATGCAGAGCCAAGATGGAGTGCCGCTGGTCAGTCTTACAGCAACAGCCAATGTGGAAGTGACTGAGGAGCGCTGGGTGTTGGTGTACAAGAAAGGTCCGGGTGAAACACATACAGGACTTCTTTTTCCAGAGTTGGAAAATCTCGACATAACCGCTGGACTTACAGGTTTGTGATTTCGTATCGTAAAACATAATCTAATTCACAGTTTGCCTAGCAAATTTTAAGTTATTATAGCATATTGATAAATAGAATACGGTGTTACAGTTTTTAAACTCAAGTAGAAATCTTCCTACTTCTCCTTGATATCACTTTTAACAAAATCTATCGATTTCAAGTAAAATTATATCACAGGAAATTTATAATTTTCTACGACAGGAGTCTTGCCTGCGGAAGTTCAAGTCAGTGCCATACGTTCGGCCTCCGAACTTTACTTCAGCCGACATCTTGGCAGTCTTCAAACGGACTACGCAAGCATGATGGCTACAACGGACTTCAGCAGCCTGGTGCATTTGTCTGCCCCTGTGCCAAGTCAAATTGAGCTAAATGAACTGTTCTGCTTACAACGACTTCCAGCAAGTTTGGAATGGTCTGTGCAGGCCAACCCCCAAGTCGAGTTTAGCATCAGTATATCCACAAGTGCAACTGACGGAGTCATTCTGGCCAGCTTTACTCCACCAAGTGTCGAAGGTAAGTTTAAGATGGATTTTCTAAACTTTGTGTTGTACACTAGTTGGTACTGTATAGGTTAAGTTGCTCTCAAACCCTATAGAGTGACAGAAATTACAATAGGAATCTGTAAATTATTTCGCAGGACACACAATAAAGCACATGACAGATTATGCTTTGTTTTTCTGCTCTTTTCAGTATTTGATTATGCGGCAATGCAAGTTGAAGTAACTGCGTGGGAATCGAACCTGGATGTTTCCCTGTCCGAAGAACTTCAGCTGGAACAATTCGAGGTGTCGTTAACAGAGATGCAGAGCCAAGATGGAGTGCCGCTGGTCAGTCTTACAGCAACAGCCAATGTGGAAGTGACTGGGGAGCGCTGGGTGTTGGTGTACAAGAAAGGTCCGGGTGACACACATACAGGACTTCGTTTTCCACAGTTGGAAAATCTGGACATATTCGCTGGACTAACAGGTTCGTATCGTAAAACATAATCTAATTCACAGTTTGCCTAGCAAATGTCAAATTATTATAGTATATTGATAAATAGAACATCTTGTTACAGTTTTAAAACTTAAATAGAAATCTCCCTACTTGTTCTTGATATCACTTTTAACAAAATCTATCGATTGTAAGTAAATTATATAACAGGAAATTTATAATTTTCCCCCACAGGGGTCTTGCCTGCGGAAGTTCAAGTCAGTGCCATACGTGCGGCCTCCGAACTCTACTTCAGCCGACATCTTTCCAGTCTGCAAACAGACTACGCAAGCATGATGGCTGCAACGGACTTCAGCAGCCTGGTGGATTTGTCTGCCCCTGTGCCAAGTCGAATTGACCTAAATGAACTGTTCTGCTTACAACGACTTCCAGCAAGTTTGGAATGGTCTGTGCAGGCCACTCCCCAAGTCGAGTTTAGCATCAGTGTATCCACAAGTGCAACTGACGGAGTCATTCTGGCCAGCTTTAGTCCACCAAGTGTCGAAGGTAAGATTAAAATGGATTTCTTAAAACTTTGTGTTGTACACCAGTGGGTACTGTGTAGGTTAAGTTGCTCTCGAACCCAATACAATGACAGAAATTACAGTAAGAATCTGAATATTATTTCGCAAGACACAAAAACAGATGACAGACTATGTTTTGTTTTTCTGCTCTTTTTAGTATTTGATTATGCTGCAATGCAAGTTGAAGTAACTGCATGGGAAACAAACCTGGATACTGCGCTGTCCGAGGAACTTCAGCTGGGACAATTCCAGGTGTCGCTAACAGAGATGCAGAGCCAAGACGGAGTGCCGCTGGTCAGTCTTACAGCAACAGCCAATTTGGAAGTAAATGTGGAGCGCTGGGTGTTGGTGTACAAGAAAGGTCCGGGCGTCACACACACGGGACTTCTTTTTCCAGAGTTGGAAAATCTGGACATAACTGCTGGGCTTACAGGTTTGTGCTTTCTCATCGTAAAACATAATCTTATTCACAGTTTGCCTACCAATTTTCAAATGCATACAAGGTTAGAAGATTATTAATATATAATAGTAAATAGTTAAATAGAATATGATGTTACAGTTTTCAAACTTAAATAGAAATCTACCTACTTCTCCTTGATATCACTTTTGCCAAAGTCTACCGATTGTAAGCATAGTTATATAACATCAAGCATTTTATGACTTTCTGCGACAGGGGTCTTGCCTGCGGAAGTTCAAGTCAGTGCCATACGTGCAGCCTCCGAACTCTACTTCAGCCGACATCTTTCCAGTCTGCAAACGGACTACGCAAGCATGATGGCTACAACGGACTTCAGCAGCCTGGTGGATTTGTCTGCCCCTGTGCCAAGTCGAATTGACCTAAATGAACTGTTCAGTTTACAACGACTTCCATCAAGTTTGGAATGGTCTGTGCAGGCCAACCCCCAAGTCGAGTTTAGCATCAGTGTATCCACAAGTGCAACAGACAGAATCATTCTGGCCTGCTTTACTCCACCGAGTGTCGAAGGTGGGTATTCTTTGGTTACCTAACTGGTTATGTTGCTCTTCAACATATGCAGATTGCCAGATTTTATAGTGTGTATCCGCCCAAATATTGCAGTGCATCCAATGACTGACTCTCTTCTGTTTTTCTGCTCTTTTTGTAGTATTTGATTATCCGGCAATGAGTGTTGATGTCATTGCATGGGAATCGAACCTGGATGCTGCGCTGTCCGAGGAACTTCAGCTGGGACAATTCCAGGTGTCGCTAAGAGAGATGCAGAGCCAAGATGGAGTGCCGCTGGTCAGTCTTACAGCAACAGCCAATGTGGAAGTGACTGAGGAGCGCTGGGTGTTGGTGTACCAGGAAGGTCCGGGCGTTACGCACACTGGGCTTCTTCTGTCGGAGTTGGTAAATTTGGACATAACCCAGGGTCTGACAGGCGAGTAGTCTGACTTTAATTTTTAACTTAAGTCAAGGGTATATGTATCATTACATAATGCATTATACGCAATGCCTTAGCGAAAAGAGAAGTAAGTATAGCCAAATGAGATGAGAAAATATACCTTAACATTCATTTTATTGGTTGTGTTCCTTCATATTTTTCTTATCAGTTGTATCTTGCCACAAATCTAAAGAAACCTTTTTTCGTTTTGAAGGGGTCTTGCCAGAGACACTTCAAGTCAGTTCCATACGTGTGGCCTCCGAACTCTACTTCAGCCGACATCTTGCCAGTCTTCAGACGGACTACGTCAGCATGATGGCTGCAACGGACTTCAGCAGCCTGGTGGATTTGTCTGCCCCTGTGCCAAGTCGAATCGAGCTCAGCGAAGTCTTCTACTTACAACTACTTCCAGCAAGTTTGGATTGGTCTGTGCAGGCCAACCCCCAAGTCGAGTTTAGCATCAGTGTATCCACAAGTGCAACAGACAGAATCATTCTGGCCAGCTTTACTCCACCGAGTGTCGAAGGTGGGTATTCTATGGTTACTTTACTGGTTACTAAGTATGTTGCTCTTCAACGTAAGCAGATTGCCAGATTTTATAGTGAGTATCCGCCCAAATCTTGCAGTGCATCCAATGACTGACTCTGTTTTTCTGCTCTTTTTGTAGTATTTGATTATCCGGCAACGAGTGTTGACGTAACTGAATGGGAATCAAACCTGGATGCTGCGCTGTCCGAGGAACTTCAGCTGGGACAATTCCAGGTGTCGCTAAGAGAGATGCAGAGCCAAGATGGAGTGCCGCTGGTCAGTCTTACAGCAACAGCCAATGTGGAAGTGACTGAGGAGCGCTGGGTGTTGGTGTACCAGGAAGGTCCGGGCGTTACGTATACGCACACTGGTCTTCTTCTGTCGGAGTTGGTAAATTTGGACATAACCCAGGGCCTGACAGGTGAGTAGTCTCACTTTAAATTTTAACTTGAGTCAAGGGTATATTTATCATTACATAATGCATTATAGCCAATGTCTTGGCTAAAAAAAGAAGTAAGTATAGAGCCAAATGAGATTAAAAAATATGTCTTAACATTCATTTTATTGGTTGTGTTCCTTCATATTTTTCTTATCAGTTGTATCTTGCCACAAATTTAAAAAAGCCTTTTTCGTTTTGAAGGGGTCTTGCCTGCGACACTTCAAGTCAGTTCCATACGCGTGGCCTCCGAACTCTACTTCAGCCGACATCTTGGCAGTCTTCAGACGGACTACGTCAGCATGATGGCTGCAACGGACTTCAGCAGCCTGGTGGATTTGTCTGCCCCTCTGCCAAGTCGAATCGAGCTCAGCGACGTCTTCTACTTACAACTACTTCCAGCAAGTTTGGAATGGTCTGTGCAGGCCAATCCCCAAGTCGAGTTTAGCATCAGTGTATCCACAAGTGCAACAGACAGAAGAATCATTCTGGCCAGCTTTACTCCACCGAGTGTCGAAGGTGGGTATTCTATGGTTACCTTACTTGTTATGTTGCTCTTGAACATAGGCAGATTACCAGATTTTACAGTGATTATATGCCCAAATTTTGAAGTGCATCCAATGACAAACTATTTGTTCTTCTGCACTTTTTGTAGTATTTGATTATGCTGCAATGAGTGTTGACGTAACTGCATGGGAAACGAACCTGGATGCTGCGCTGTCCGAGGAACTTCAGCTGGGACAATTCCAGGTTTCGCTAAGAGAGATGCAGAGCCAAGATGGAGTGCCACTGGTCAGTCTTACAGCAACAGCCAATGTGGAAGTGACTGAGGAGCGCTGGGTGTTAGTGTACCAGGAAGGTCCAGGCGTTACGCACACTGCGCTTATTTTGTCGGAGTTGGTAAATCTGGACATAACCCAGGGTCTGACAGGTGAGTAGTCTCACTTTAAATTTTAACTTAAGTGAAGGGTATATATATCATTACATACTGTATTATACGAAATGCCCTTGCTAAAAGAGAAGTAATTATAGAGCCAAATGAGATTAGAAAATATACCTTAACATTCATTTTATTGGTTGTGTTCCTTCATATTTTTCTTATCAGTTGTATCTTGCCACAAATTTAAAGAATCCTTTTTCGTTTTGAAGGGGTCTTGCCTGCGACACTTCAAGTCAGTTCCATACGCGTGGCCTCCGAACTCTACTTCAGCCGACATCTTGCCAGTCTTCAGACGGACTACGTCAGCATGATGGCTGCAACGGACTTCAGCAGCCTGGTGGATTCGTCTGCCCCTGTGCCAAGTCGAATCGAGCTCAGCGAAGTCTTCTACTTACAACTACTTCCAGCAAGTTTGGAATGGTCTGTGCAGGCCAATCCCCAAGTCGAGTTTAGCATCAGTATATCCACAAGTGTAACAGACAGAATCATTCTGGCCTGCTTTACTCCACCGAGTGTCGAAGGTGGGTATTCTATGGTTACCTTACTGGTTATGTTGCTCTTCAACATATGCAGATTGGTAGATTTTATAGTGTGAATCCGCTAAAATCTTGCAGAGCGTCCAATGACTGACTCTCTTGTTTTTCTTCTCTATTTGTAGTATTTGATTATTCGGCAATGAGTGTTGATGTCGTTGCATGGGAATCGAACCTGGATGCTTCGCTGTCCGAGGAACTTCAGCTGGGACAATTCCAGGTTTCGCTAAGAGAGATGCAGAGCCAAGATGGAGTGCCGCTGGTCAGTCTTACAGCAACAGCCAATGTGGAAGTGACTGAGGAGCGCTGGGTGTTGGTGTACCAGGAAGGTCCGGGCGTTACGCACACTGGGCTTCTTCTGTCGGAGTTGGTAAATCTGGACATAACCCAGGGTCTGACAGGTGAGTAGTCTCACTTTAAATTTTAACTTAAGTCAAGGGTATATGTATCATTACAAAATGCATTTCAGGCAATGCTTTTTCTAAAAGTAAAGAACTCCGTATAGAGCTAAATGAGATTAGAATATGTGGTTACTGTTATATTATTGGATATGTTTCTTTATATTTTCCTCATAAGTTGTATCTTATTACAAATTTAAAGAAACCTATTTTGCTCTGAAGGGGTTTTGCCAGCGACACTTCAAGTCAGTTCGATACGTGTGGCCTCCGAACTCTACTTCAGCCGACATCTTGCCAGTCTTCAGACGGACTACGTCAGCATGATGGCTGCAACGGACTTCAGCAGCCTGGTGGATTCGTCTGCCCCTGTGCCAAGTCTAATCGAGCTCAGCGAAGTCTTCTACTTACAACTACTTCCAGCAAGTTTGGAATGGTCTGTGCAGGCCAATCTCCAAGTCAAGTTTAGCATCAGTGTATCCACAAGTGCAACAGACAGAATCATTCTGGCCAGCTTTACTCCACCGAGTGTCGAAGGTGGGTATTCTCTGGCTACCTTAGGGGTTATTTTTCTCTTCTCTTTAACATATGCAGATTGCCAGATTTTATGTTAAGAATCCGCTCAAATCTTGCAGTGCATCCAATGACAAACTTTTTTTGTTTTCTGCTCTTTTTGTAGTATTCGATTATCCGGCAATGAGTGTTGACGTAACTGCATGGGAAACGAACCTGGATGCTGCGCTGTCCGAGGAACTTCAGCTGGGACAATTCCAGGTGTCGCTAAGAGAGATGCAGAGCCAAGATGGAGTGCCGCTGGTCAGTCTTACAGCAACAGCCAATGTGGAAGTGACTGAGGAGCGCTGGGTGTTGGTGTACCAGGAAGGTCCGGGCGTTACGCACACTGCGCTTCTTCTGTCGGAGTTGGTAAATTTGGACATAACCCAGGGTCTGACAGGTGAGTAGTCTTACTTAAAATTTTAACTTATTAAGTCAAGGGTGTGTGTATCATTACATAATGCATTATACGCAATGCTTTTGCTAAAAAAGAGAAGTAAGTATAGAGCCAAATGAGATTAGAACCTTTCCCTTAACTTTCATATAACTGGCTCTGTTCCTGTATATTTTTATTATCATTTGTATATTACCACATATTAAAACAAACCTTTTTCGTTCTGAAGGGGTCTTGCCAGCGACACTTCAAGTCAGTTCCATACGTGTGGCCTCCGAACTCTACTTTAGCCGATATCTTACCAGTCTTCAGACGGACTACGTCAGCATGATGGCTGCAACGGACTTCAGCAGCCTAGTGGATTTGTCTGCCCCTGTGCCAAGTCGAATCGAGCTCAGCGAAGTCTTCTACTTACAACTACTTCCAGCAAGTTTGGAATGGTCTGTGCAGGCCAATCCCCAAGTCGAGTTTAGCATCAGTATATCCACAAGTGTAACAGACAGAATCATTCTGGCCAGCTTTACTCCACCGAGTGTCGAAGGTAGGTATTCTACGGTTACTTTACTGGTTATGTTGCTCTTCAACATATGCAGATTGCTAGATTCTATAGTGAGTATTCGCCCAAATCTTGCTGTGCATCCAATGACTGACTCTCTTCTGTTTTTCTGCTCTTTTTGTAGTATTTGATTATCCGGCAATGAGTGTTGATGTCATTGCATGGGAATCGAACCTGGATGCTGCGCTGTCCGAGGAACTTCAGCTGGGACAATTCCAGGTGTCGCTAAGAGAGATGCAGAGCCAAGACGGAGTGCCGCTGGTCAGTCTTACAGCAACAGCCAATGTGGAAGTGACTGAGGAGCGCTGGGTGTTGGTGTACCAGGAAGGTCCTGGCGTTACGCACACTGGACTTCTTCTGTCGGAGTTGGTAAATCTGGACATAACCCAAGGTCTGACAGGTGAGTAGTTTCTGACTTTAAATTTCTATTTAAGTCAGGTGTAAATGTATCAGTATATAATGAATGTTAGGCAATGCCTTTGCGAGAAAAAAAAAGAAGTACCTATAGAGCTAAATGAGATTAGAAGATATACATTAACTTTTACATTTTTTTTCTGTGGTCCTGTCTATTTTTCTTATGAGTTTTATCTTACCAGAAATGTAAAGAAACCTTTTTCGTTCTTAAGGGATCTTGCCAGCGACACTTCAAGTCAGTTCCATACGTGTGGCCTCCGAACTCTACTTCAGCCGACATCTTGCCAGTCTTCAGACGGACTACGTCAGCATGATGGCTGCAACGGACTTTAGCAGCCTGGTGGATTCGTCTGCCCCTGTGCCTAATCGGATCGAGCTCAGCGAAGTCTTCTACTTACAACTACTTCCAGCAAGTTTGGAGTGGTCTGTGCAGGCCAACCCCCAAGTCGAGTTTAGCATCAGTATATCCACAAGTGTAACAGACAGAATCATTCTGGCCAGCTTTACTCCACCGAGTGTCGAAGGTGGGTATTCTATGGTTACCTTACTGGTTATTTTGCTCTTGAACATATGCAGATTACCAGATTTTATAGTAAGTATCCGCCCAAGTCTTGCAGTGCATCCAATGACTGACTCTGTTTTTTTCTGCTCTTTTTGTAGTATTTGATTATCCGGCAATGAGTGTTGATGTCATTGCATGGGAAACGAACCTGGATGCTGCGCTGTCCGAGGAACTTCAGCTGGGAGAATTCCAGGTGTCGCTAAGAGAGATGCAGAGCCAAGACGGAGTGCCGCTGGTCAGTCTTACAGCAACAGCCAATGTGGAAGTGACTGAGGAGCGCTGGGTGTTGGTGTACCAGGAAGGTCCGGGCGTTACGCACACTGCGCTTCTTTTGTCGGAGTTGGTAAATTTGGACGTAACCCAGGGTCTGACAGGTGAGTAGTCTCACTTTAAATTTTAACTTAAGTCAAGGGTATATGTATCATTACATAATGCATTTTATTACGTAATGCCTTTGCTAAAAAAAGTAAATATAGAGCCAAATGAGATGAGAAAATATACCTTAACATTCCTTTGATTGGTTGTGTTCCTTCATATTTTTCTTATCAGTTGTATCTTGCCACAAATCTAAAGAAACCTTTTTCGTTTTGAAGGGGTCTTGCCAGCGACACTTCAAGTCAGTTCCATACGTGTGGCCTCCGAACTCTACTTCAGCCGACATCTTGCCAGTCTTCAGACGGACTACGTCAGCATGATGGCTGCAACGGACTTCAGCAGCCTGGTGGATTCGTCTGCCCCTGTGCCAAGTCGAATCGAGCTGAGCGAAGTCTTCTACTTACAACTACTTCCAGCAAGTTTGGAATGGTCTATGCAGGCCAACCCCCAAGTCGAGTTTAGCATCAGTATATCCACAAGTGCAACAGACAGAATCATTCTGGCCAGCTTTACTCCACCGAGTGTCGAAGGTAGGTATTCTATGGTTACCCTACTGGTTATGTTGCTCTTCAACATATGCAGATTGCCAGATTTTATAGTGTGTATCCGCCCAAATCTTGTTGTGCATCCAATGACTGACTCTGTTGTTTTCTGCTCTTTTTGTAGTATTTGATTATGCTGCAATGAGTGTTGACTTAACTGCATGGGAAACGAACCTGGATGCTGCGCTGTCCGAGGAACTTCAGCTGGGACAATTCCAGGTGTCGCTAAGAGAGATGCAGAGCCAAGACGGAGTGCCGCTGGTCAGTCTTACAGCAACAGCCAATATGGAAGTGACTGAGGAGCGCTGGGTGTTGGTGTACCAGGAAGGTCCGGGCGTTACGCACACTGCGCTTCTTTTGTCGGAGTTGGTAAATTTGGACATAACCCAGGGTCTGACAGGTGAGTAGTCTCACTTTAATTTTGAACTTAAGTCAAGGGTATATGTATCATTACATAATGCATTATACGCAATGCCTTTGCTGGAAAAGAAGTAAGTATAGAACCAAATGAGATTAGAATATATACATAACATTCATTTTATTGGTTCTGTTCCTTCATATTTTTCTTATCAGTTGTATCTTTCCACAAATTGAAAGAAACCTTTTTCGTTTTGAAGGGGTCTTGCCAGCGACACTTCAAGTCAGTTCCATACGCGTGGCCTCCGAACTCTACTTCAGCCGACATCTTGCCAGTCTTCAGACGGACTACGTCAGCATGATGGCTGCAACGGACTTCAGCAGCCTGGTGGATTTGTCTGCCCCTGTGCCAAGTCGAATCGAGCTCAGCGAAGTCTTCTACTTACAACTACTTCCAGCAAGTTTGGAATGGACTGTGCAGGCCAATCCCCAAGTCGAGTTTAGCATCAGTTTATCCACAAGTGTAACAGACAGAATCATTCTGGCTAGCTTTACTCCACCGAGTGTCGAAGGTGCGTATTCTATGGTTACCTTACTGGTTCTAAGTATGTTGCTCTTCAACATATGCAGATTGCCAGATTTTATAGTGAGTATCCGCCAAAATCTTGCAGTGCATGCAATGACTGACTCTCTTCTGTTTTTCTGCTCTTTTTGTAGTATTTGATTATCCGGCAATGAGTGTTGACGTAACTGCATGGAGATCGAACCTGGATGCTGCGCTGTCCGAGGAACTTCAGCTGGAACAATTCCAGGTGTCGCTAAGAGAGATGCAGAGCCAAGATGGAGTGCCGCTGGTCAGTCTTACAGCAACAGCCAATGTGGAAGTGACTGAGGAGCGCTGGGTGTTGGTGTACCAGGAAGGTCCGGGCGTTACGCACACTGCGCTTCTTCTGTCGGAGTTGGTAAATCTGGACATAACCCAGGGTCTGACAGGTGAGTAGTCTCACTTTAAATTTTAGCTTAAGTCAAGGGTATATGTATCATTACATAATGCATTATACGCAATGCCTTGGCTAAAAACAGAAGTAAGTATAGAGCCAAATGAGACTAGAAAATATACCTTAACATTCATTTTATTGGTTGTGTTCCTTCATATTTTTGTTATCAGTTGTATCTTGCCACAAATTTAAAGAAACCTTTTTCGTTTTGAAGGGGTCTTGCCAGCGACACTTCAAGTCAGTTCGATACGTGTGGCCTCCGAACTCTACTTCAGCCGACATCTTGCCAGTCTTCAGACGGACTACGTCAGCATGATGGCTGCAACGGACTTCAGCAGCCTGGTGGATTCGTCTGCCCCTGTGCCAAGTCGAATCGAGCTGAGCGAAGTCTTCTTCTTACAACTACTTCCAGCAAGTTTGGAATGGTCTGTGCAGGCCAATCCCCAAGTCGAGTTTAGCATCAGTATATCCACAAGCGTAACAGACAGAGTCATACTGGCCAGCTTTACTCCACCGAGTGTCGAAGGTGGGTATTCTATGGCTATCTTAATGGTTATGTTGCTCTTCAACATATGCAAATTGTCAGATTTTATATTGAGAATTCGCCCAAATTTTGCAGTACATCCAAAAACAGACAATTTTGTTTTTCTGCTCTTTTTGTAGTATTTGATTATCCGGCAATGAGTGTTGATGTCATTGCATGGGAAACGAACCTGGATGCTGCGCTGTCCGAGGAACTTCAGCTGGGACAATTCCAGGTGTCGTTAAGAGAGATGCAGAGCCAAGATGGAGTGCCGCTGGTCAGTCTTACAGCAACAGCCAGTGTGGAAGTGACCGAGGAGCGCTGGGTGTTGGTGTACCAGGAAGGTCCGGGCGTTACGAAGACTGGGCTTCTTTTGTCGGAGTTGGTAAATTTGGACATAACCCAGGATCTGACAGGTGAGTAGTCTGACTTTAAAATTTAACTTAAGTCAAAAGTAAATGTATCAGTACATAATGGATTTTAGTCAATGTCTTTGATAAAAAAGAAGTAAGTATAGACCTAAATAAGATTAGAACATATACCTTCACATTTAAATTATTGGATGTGTTTCTTTATATTTTTCTTGCTACTTTTATCTTACCACAAATTTAAAGAAACCTTTTTCGTTCTGAAGGGGTCTTGCCAGCGACACTTCAAGTCAGTTCTATACGCGTGGCCTTCGAACTCTACTTCAGCCGACATCTTAGCAGTCTTCAGACGGACTACGTCAGCATGATGGCTGCAACGGACTTCAGCGGCCTGGTGGATTTGTCTGCCCCTGTGCCAAGTCGAATCGAGCTCAGCGAAGTCTTCTACTTACAACTACTTCCAGCAAGTTTGGAATGGTCTGTGCAGGCCAACCCCCAAGTCGAGTTTAGCATCAGTATATCCACAAGTGTAACAGACAGAATCATTCTGGCCAGCTTTACTCCACCGAGTGTCGAAGGTGGGTATTCTATGGTTACCTTACTGGTTATGTTGCTCTTCAACATATGCAGATGACCAGATTTGTCAGTGATTATATGCCCAAATCTTGCAGTGCATCCAATGACTGACTCTCTTCTGTTTTTCTGCTCTTTCTGTAGTATTTGATTATCAGGCAATGAGTGTTGATGTCACTGCATGGGAAACGAACCTGGATACTGCGCTGTCCGAGGAAATTCAGCTGGGACAATTCCAGGTTTCGCTAAGAGAGATGCAGAGCCAAGATGGAGTGCCGCTGGTCAGTCTTACAGCAACAGCCAATGTGGAAGTGACTGAGGAGCGCTGGGTGTTGGTGTACCAGGAAGGTCCGGGCGTTACGCACACTGGGCTTCTTCTGTCGGAGTTGGTAAATCTGGACATAACCCAGGGTCTGACAGGTGAGTAGTCTGACTTTAAATTTTAACTTAAGTCAAGGGTAAATGCATCATTACATTATGCATTTTAGGCAATACCTTTGCTGGAAAAATGAAGTCAGTATAGAGCTAAATGACATAGGAACATATACCTTAACATTCATTTTATTAGTTTTGTTCCTGTATATTTGTCTTATCACTTGTATCTTACCTCAAACTTAAAGAAACCCTTTTCACTCTTAAGGGGTCTTGTCAGCGACACTTCAAGTCAGTTCCATACGTGTGGCCTCCGAAGTCTACTTCAGCCGACATCTTGCCAGTCTTCAGACGGACTACGTCAGCATGATGGCTGCAACGGACTTCAGCAGCCTGGTGGATTTGTCTGCCCCTGTGCCAAGTCGAATCGAGCTCAGCGAAGTCTTCTACTTACAACTACTTCCAGCAAGTTTGGAATGGTCTGTGCAGGCCAACCCCCAAGTCGAGTTTAGCATCAGTGTATCCACAAGTGCAACAGACAGAATCATTCTGGCCAGCTTTACTCCACCGAGTGTCGAAGGTGGGTATTCTATGGTTACCTTACTGGTTATGTTGCTCTTCAACATATGCAGGTTGCCAGATTTTACAGTGATTATATGCCCAAATTTTGAAGTGCATCCAATGACAAACTATTTGTTCTTCTGCTCTTTTTGTAGTATTTGATTATGCTGCAATGAGTGTTGACGTAACTGCATGGGAATCGAACCTGGATGCTGCGCTGTCCGAGGAACTTCAGTTGGGACAATTCCAGGTGTCGCTAAGAGAGATGCAGAGCCAAGATGGAGTGCCGCTGGTCAGTCTTACAGCAACAGCCAATGTGGAAGTGACTGAGGAGCGCTGGGTGTTGGTGTACCAGGAAGGTCCGGGCGTTACGCACACTGCGCTTCTTCTGTCGGAGTTGGTAAATTTGGACATAACCCAGGGTCTGACAGGTGAGTAGTCTCACTTTAAATTTTAACTTAAGTCAAGGGTATATGTATCATTACATAATGCATTATACGCAATGCCTTTGCTAAAAAAAGTAAGTATAGAGTCAAATGAGATTAGAAAATATACCTTAACATTCATTTTATTGGTTGTGTTCCTGTATATATTTCTCTTATCAGTTGTATCTTGCCACAAATCTAAAGAAACCTTTTTCGCTTTGAAGGGGTCTTGCCTGCGACACTTCAAGTCAGTTCCATACGCGTGGCCTCCGAACTCTACTTCAGCCGACATCTTGGCAGTCTTCAGACGGACTACGTCAGCATGATGGCTGCAACGGACTTCAGCAGCCTGGTGGATTCGTCTGCCCCTGTGCCTAATCGAATCGAGCTCAGCGAAGTCTTCTTCTTACAACTACTTCCAGCAAGTTTGGAATGGTCTGTGCAAGCCAACCCCCAAGTCCAGTTTAGCATCAGTGTATCCACTAGTACAACTGACAGAATCATTCTGGCCAGCTTTACTCCACCGAGTGTCGAAGGTGGGTATTCTATGGTTACCTTACTGGTTATGTTGCTCTTCAACATATGCAGATTACCAGATTTTACAGTGATTATATGCCCAAATTTTGAAGTGCATTCAATGACAAACTATTTGTTCTTCTGCTCTTTTTGTAGTATTTGATTATGCTGCAATGAGTGTTGACGTAACTGCATGGGAAACAAACCTGGATGCTGCACTGTCCGAGGAACTTCAGCTGGGACAATTCCAGGTGTCGCTAAGAGAGATGCAGAGCCAAGATGGAGTGCCGCTGGTCAGTCTTACTGCAACAGCCAATGTGGAAGTGACTGAGGAGCGCTGGGTGTTGGTGTACCAGGAAGGTCCGGGCGTTACGAAGACTGGGCTTCTTCTGTCGGAGTTGGTAAATCTGGACATAACCCAGGGTCTAACAGGTGAGTAGTCTGACTTTAAAATTTAACTTAAGTCAAAAGTAAATGTATCAGTACATAATGGACTTTAGTCAATGTCTTTGATAAAAAAGAAGTAAGTATAGACCTATTCATATTTTTCTTGCTACTTTTATCTTACCACAAATTTAAAGAAACCTTTTTCGTATTGAAGGGGTCTTGCCGGCGACACTTCAAGTCAGTTCCATACGCGTGGCCTCCGAACTCTACTTCAGCCGACATCTTGGCAGTCTTCAGACGGACTACGTCAGCATGATGGCTGCAACGGACTTCAGCAGCCTGGTGGATTTGTCTGCCCCTGTGCCAAGTCGAATCGAGCTCAGCGAAGTCTTCTACTTACAATTACTTCCAGCAAGTTTGGAATGGTCTGTGCAGGCCAACCCCCAAGTCGAGTTTAGCATCAGCATATCCACAAGTGTAACAGACAGAATCATTCTGGCCAGCTTTACTCCACCGAGTGTCGAAGGTGGGTATTCTATGGTTACCTTACTGGTTATGTTGCTCTTCAACATATGCAGATTGCCAGATTTTATAGTGAGTATCCGCCTAAATCTTGCAGTGCATCCAATGACTGACTCTGTTGTTTTTCTGCTCTTTTTGTAGTATTTGATTATCCGGCAATGAGTGTTGATGTCATTGCATGGGAATCGAACCTGGATGCTGCGCTGTCCGAGGAACTTCAGCTGGGACAATTCCAGGTTTCGCTAAGAGAGATGCAGAGCCAAGATGGAGTGCCGCTGGTCAGTCTTACAGCAACAGCCAATGTGGAAGTGACTGAGGAGCGCTGGGTGTTGGTGTACCAGGAAGGTCCGGGCGTTACGCACACTGCGCTTCTTCTGTCGGAGTTGGTAAATCTGGACATAACCCAGGATCTGACAGGTGAGTAGTCTGACTTTTAATTTTAACTTAAATCAAAAGTAAATGTATCAGTACATAATGGATTTTAGCCAATGTCTTTGATGAAAAAGATGAAAGTATAGACCTAAATAAGATTAGAACATATACCTTAACAATTAAATTATTGGATGTACTTCTTTAATTTTTCTTGTTACTTTTATCTTACCACAAATTTAAAGAAACCTATTTCGTTCTGAAGCGGTCTTGCCAGCGACACTTCAAGTCAGTTCCATACGTGTGGCCTCCGAACTCTACTTCAGCCGACATCTTGCCAGTCTTCAGACGGACTACGTCAGCATGATGGCTGCAACGGACTTCAGCAGCCTGGTGGATTTGTCTGCCCCTGTGCCAAGTCGAATCGAGCTCAGCGAAGTCTTCTACTTACAACTACTTCCAGCAAGTTTGGAATGGTCTGTGCAGGCCAATCCCCAAGTCGAGTTTAGCATCAGTGTATCCACAAGTGCAACAGACAGAATCATTCTGGCCAGCTTTACTCCACCGAGTGTCGAAGGTGGGTCTTCTATGGCCACGGTTATATTGCTCCTCAACATGTACAGATTGGTAGATTTTATAGTGAGAATCCGCCCAAATCTTGCAGTGAATCTAATGACAGACTATGTTTTTTTTCTGCTCTTTTCAGTGTTTGATTATGCTGCAATGAATGTTGACGTAACTGCCTGGGAATCGAACCTGGGTGCTGCGCTGTCCGAGGAACTTCAGCTGGGACAATTCCAGGTGTCGCTAAGAGAGATGCAGAGCCAAGATGGAGTGCCGCTGGTCAGTCTTACAGCAACAGCCAATGTGGAAGTGACTGAGGAGCGCTGGGTGTTGGTGTACCAGGAAGGGCCGGGCGTTACGCACACTGCGCTTCTTTTGTCGGAGTTGGTAAATCTGGACATAACCCAGGGTCTGACAGGTGAGTAGTCTCACTTCAAATTCTAACTTAAGTCAAGGGTATATGTATCATTACATAATGCATTATAGGCAATGCCTTGGCTTAAAAAAGAAGTAAGTATAGAGCTAAATGAGATTAGAAAATATACCTTAACATTCATTTTATTGGTTGTGTTCCTTCATATTTTTCTTATCAGTTGTATCTTGCCACAAATTTAATGAAGCCTTTTTCGTTCTGAAGCGGTATTGCCAGCGACACTTCAAGTCAGTTCCATACGCGTGGCCTCCGAACTCTACTTCAGCCGACATCTTGCCAGTCTTCAGACGGACTACGTCAGCATGATGGCTGCAACGGACTTCAGCAGCCTGGTGGATTCGTCTGCCCCTGTGCCAAGTCGAATCGAGCTGAGCGAAGTCTTCTACTTACAACTACTTCCAGCAAGTTTGGAATGGTCTGTGCAGGCCAACCCCCAAGTCGAGTTTAGCATCAGTGTATCCACAAGTGTAACAGACAGAATCATTCTGGCCAGCTTTACTCCACCGAGTGTCGAAGGTGGGTATTCTATGGCAACCTTAGTGGTTATGTTGCTCTACAACATATGCAGATTGCCAGATTTTATAGTGAGTATCCGCCCAAATCTTGCAGTGCATCCAATGACTGACTCTCTTCTGTTTTTCTGCTCTTTTTGTAGTATTTGATTATCCGGCAATGAGTGTTGACGTAACTGCATGGGAATCGAACCTGGATGCTGCGCTGTCCGAGGAACTTCAGCTGGGACAATTCCAGGTGTCGCTAAGAGAGATGCAGAGCCAAGACGGAGTGCCCCTGGTCAGTCTTACAGCAACAGCCAATGTGGAAGTGACCGAGGAGCGCTGGGTATTGGTGTACCAGGAAGGTCCGGGCGTTACGCACACTGGGCTTCTTCTGTCGGAGTTGGTAAATCTGGACATAACCCAGGGTCTGACAGGTGAGTAGTTTCTGACTTTAAATTTCAATTTAAGTCAAGTGTAAATGTATCAGTACATAATAAATTTTCAGGCAATGCCTTTGCTGGAAAAAAAAGAAGTAGCTATAGAGCTAAATGAGATTAGAACATATACATTAACTTTTATATTTTTTCTGTGTTAATGTCAATTTTTCTTATCAGTTGTATCTTACCACATATTGAAACAAACCTTTTTCGTTCTTAAGGGGTCTTGCCAGCGACACTTCAAGTCAGTTCCATACGCGTGGCCTCCGAACTCTACTTCAGCCGACATCTTGCCAGTCTTCAGACGGACTACGTCAGCATGATGGCTGCAACGGACTTCAGCAGCCTGGTGGATTCGTCTGCCCCTGTGCCAAGTCGAATCGAGCTGAGCGAAGTCTTCTACTTACAACTACTTCCAGCAAGTTTAGAATGGTCTGTGCAGGCCAACTCCCAAGTCGAGTTTAGCATCAGTGTATCGACAAGTACAACTGACAGAATCATTCTGGCCAGCTTTACTCCACCGAGTGTCGAAGGTGGGTATTCTATGGCCACCTTAATGGTTATGTTGCTCTTCCACATATGCAAATTGGCAGATTTTATAGTGAGTATTGGTCCAAATCTTGCAGTGTATCTAGTGACGGACTCTTTTGTTTTTTTTTTGCTCTTTTTGTAGTATTTGATTATGCGGCAATGAGTGTTGACGTAACTGCATGGGAATCGAACCTGGATGCTGCGCTATCCGAGGAACTTCATCTGGGACAATTCCAGGTGTCGCTAAGAGAGATGCAGAGCCAAGATGGAGTGCCGCTGGTCAGTCTTACAGCAACGGCCAATGTGGAAGTGACTGAGGAGCGCTGGGTGTTGGTGTACCAGGAAGGTCCGGGCGTTACGCACACTGCGCTTCTTCTGTCGGAGTTGGTAAATTTGGACATAACCCAGGGTCTGACAGGTGAGTAGTCTCACTTTAGATTTTAACTTAAGTCAAGGGTAAAGGTATCATTACATAATGCATTTTAGGCAATGCCTTTGCTAGAAAAAAGAAGTCGCTATAGAGCTAAATGAGATTTGAACATAATATTTATGCATTAACTTACATATTATTGTCTGTTGTCCTGTATATTTTTCTTATCAGTTGTATCTTGCCACAAATTTAAAGAAGTCTTTTTTTTGTTTTGAAGGGGTCTTGCCAGCGACACTTCAAGTCAGTTCCATACACGTGGCCTCCGAACTCTACTTCAGCCGACATCTTGCCAGTCTTCAAACGGACTATGTCAGCATGATGGCTGCAACGGACTTCAGCAGCCTGGTGGATTCGTCTGCCCCTGTGCCAAGTCGAATCGAGCTCAGCGAAGTCTTCTACTTACAACTACTTCCAGCAAGTTTGGAATGGTCTCTGCAGGCCAACCCCCAAGTCGAGTTTAGCATCAGTGTATCCATAAGTGCAACTGACAGAATCATTCTGGCCAGCTTTACTCCACCGAGTGTCGAAGGTGGGTATTCTATGGTTACCTTAGTGGTTATGTTGCTCTTCAACATATGCAGATTGCCAGATTTTATAGTGAGTATCCGCCCAAATCTTGCAGTGCATCCAATGACTGACTCTGTTGTTTCTGCTCTTTTTGTAGTATTTGATTATCCGGCAATGAGTGTTGACGTAACTGCATGGGAAACGAACCTGGATGCTGCGCTGTCCGAGGAACTTCAGCTGGGACAATTCCAGGTGTCGCTAAGAGAGATGCAGAGCCAAGACGGAGTGCCGCTGGTCAGTCTTACAGCAACAGCCAATGTGGAAGTGACTGAGGAGCGCTGGGTGTTGGTGTACCAGGAAGGTCCGGGCGTTACGCACACTGCGCTTCTTCTGTTGGAGTTGGTAAATTTGGACATAACCCAGGGTCTGACAGGTGAGTAGTCTCACTTTAAATTTTAACTTAAGTCAAGGGTATATGTATCATTACATAATGCATTATACGCAATGCTTTTGCTAAAAAAAAAGAAGTAAGTATAGAGCCAAATGAGATTAGAAAATATACCTTAACATTCATTTTATTGCTTGTGTTCCCCCATATTTTTCTTATCAGTTGTATGTTGCCAAAAATTTAAAGAAGCCTTTTTCGTTTTGAAGGGGTCTTGCCAGCGACACTTCAAGTCAGTTCCATACGTGTGGTCTCCCAACTCTACTTCAGCCGACATCTTGGCAGTCTTCAGACGGACTACGTCAGCATGATGGCTGCAACGGACTTCAGCAGCCTGGTGGATTTGTCTGCCCCTGTGCCAAGTCGAATCGAGCTGAGCGAAGTCTTCTACTTACAACTACTTCCAGCAAGTTTGGAATGGTCTGTGCAGGCCAACCCCCAAGTCGAGTTTAGCATCAGTATATCCACAAGTGCAACTGACAGAATCATTCTGGTCAGCTTTACTCCACCGAATGTCGAAGGTGCGTATTCTATGGTTACTTTACTGGTTACTGAAGTATGTTGCTCTTCAACATATGCAGATTGCCAGCTGAGTATCCGGCCAAATCTTGCAGTGCATCCAATGACTGACTCTCTTTTGTTTTTCTGCTCTTTTTGTAGTATTTGATTATCCGGCAATGAGTGTTGACGTAACTGCATGGGAAACGAACCTGGATGCTGCGCTGTCCGAGGAACTTCAGCTGGGACAATTCCAGGTGTCGCTAAGAGAGATGCAGAGCCAAGATGGAGTGCCGCTGGTCAGTCTTACAGCAACAGCCAATGTGGAAGTGACCGAGGAGCGCTGGGTGTTGGTGTACCAGGAAGGTCCGGGCGTTACGCAAACCGGGCTTCTTCTGTCGGAGTTGGTAAATCTGGACATAACCCAGGGTCTGACAGGTGAGTTGTCTCACTTTAAATTTTAACGTATTACGTCAAGGGTATATGTATCATTACATAATGCATTATACGCAATGCCTTGGCTAAAAAAGAAGTAAGTATAGAGCCAAATGAGATTAGAATATATACCTTAACATTCATTTTATTGGTTGTGTTCCTTCATATTTTTCTTATCAGTTGTATCTTGCCACAAATTTAAAGAAGCCTATTTCGTTTTGAAGGGGTCTTGCCTGCGACACTTCAAGTCAGTTCCATACGCGTGGCCTCCGATCTCTACTTCAGCCGACATCTTGGCAGTCTTCAGACGGACTACGTCAGCATGATGGCTGCAACGGACTTCAGCAGCCTGGTGGATTTGTCTGCCCCTGTGCCAAGTCGAATCGAGCTGAGCGAAGTTTTCTACTTACAACTACTTCCAGCAAGTTTGGAATGGTCTGTGCAGGCCAACCCCCAAGTCGAGTTTAGCATCAGTATATCCACAAGTGTAACAGACAGAATCATTCTGGCCAGCTTTACTCCACCGAGTGTCGAAGGTGGGTATTCTATGGTTACCTTACTGGTTATGTTGCTCTTCAACATATGCAGATTGCCAGATTTTATAGTGAGTATCCGCCAATATCTTGCAGTGCATCCAATGACTGACTCTGTTCTGTTTTTCTGCTCTTTTTGTAGTATTTGATTATCCGGCAATGAGTGTTGACGTAACTGCATGGGAAACAAACCTGGATGCTGCGCTGTCCGAGGAACTTCAGCTGGGACAATTCCAGGTGTCGCTAAGAGAGATGCAGAGCCAAGACGCAGTGCCGCTGGTCAGTCTTACAGCAACAGCCAATGTGGAAGTGACTGAGGAGCGCTGGGTGTTGGTGTACCAGGAAGGTCCGGGCGTTACGCACACTGGGCTTCTTTTGTCGGAGTTGGTAAATTTGGACATAACCCAGGGTCTGACAGGTGAGTAGTCTCACTTTAAATTCTAACTTAAGTCAAGGGTATATGTACGTATCATTACATAATGCATTATAGGCAATGCCTTGGCTTAAAAAAGAAGTCAGTATAGAGCCAAATGAGATGAGAAAATATACCTTAACATTCATTTTATTGGTTGTGTTCCTTCATATTTTCCTTATCAGTTGTATCTTGCCACAAATCTAAAGAAGCCTATTTCGTTTTGAAGGGGTCTTGCCAGCGACACTTCAAGTCAGTTCCATACGCGTGGCCTCCGAACTCTACTTCAGCCGACATCTTGCCAGTCTTCAGACGGACTACGTCAGCATGATGGCTGCAACGGACTTCAGCAGCCTGGTGGATTCGTCTGCCCCTGTGCCAAGTCGAATTGAGCTCAGCGAAGTCTTCTACTTACAACTACTTCCAGCAAGTTTGGAATGGTCTGTGCAGGCCAACCCCCAAGTCGAGTTTAGCATCAGTGTATCCACAAGTGCAACAGACAGAATCATTCTGGCCAGCTTTACTCCACCGAGTGTCGAAGGTGGGTATTCTATGGTTACCTTACTGGTTATGTTGCTCTTCAACATATGCAGATTGCCGGATTTTATAGTGAGTATCCGCCAATATCTTGCAGTGCATCCAATGACTGACTCTCTTCTGTTTTTCTGCTCTTTTTGTAGTATTCGATTATCCGGCAATGAGTGTTGAAGTAACTGCATGGGAATCGAACCTGGATGCTGCGCTGTCCGAGGAACTTCAGCTGGGACAATTCCAGGTGTCGCTAAGAGAGATGCAGAGCCAAGACGGAGTGCCGCTGGTCAGTCTTACAGCAACAACCAATGTGGAAGTGACTGAGGAGCGCTGGGTGTTGGTGTACCAGGAAGGTCCGGGCGTTACGCACACTGCGATTCTTTTGTCGGAGTTGGTAAATTTGGACATAACCCAGGGTCTGACAGGTGAGTAGTCTCACTTTATATTTTAACTTAATTCAAGGGTATATGTATCATTACATAATGCATTATAGGTAATGCCTTGGCGAAAAGAGAAGTAAGTATAGAGCGAAATGAGATTAGAAAAATATACCTTAACATTCATTTTATTGGTTGCGTTCCTTCATATTTTTCTTATCAGTTGTATCTTGCCACAAATCTAAAGAAACCGTTTTCGTTTTGAAGGGGTCTTGCCTGCGACACTTCAAGTCAGTTCCATACGCGTGGCCTCCGAACTCTACTTCAGCCGACATCTTGCCAGTCTTCAGACGGACTACGTCAGCATGATGGCTGCAACGGACTTCAGCAGCCTGGTGGATTCGTCTGCCCCTGTGCCAAGTCGAATCGAGCTGAGCGAAGTCTTCTACTTACAACTACTTCCAGCAAGTTTGGAATGGTCTGTGCAGGCCAACCCCCAAGTCGAGTTTAGCATCAGTGTATCCACAAGTGCAACAGACAGAATCATTCTGGCCAGCTTTACTCCACCGAGTGTCGAAGGTGGGTATTCTATGGCCACGGTTATATTGCTCCTCAACATGTACAGATTGGTAGATTTTATAGTGAGAATTCGCCCAAATCTTGCAGTGAATCTAATGACAGACTATGTTTCTTTTTCTGCTCTTTTCAGTGTTTGATTATGCTGCAATGAATGTTGACGTAACTGCCTGGGAATCGAACCTGGATGCTGCGCTGTCCGAGGAACTTCAGCTGGGACAATTCAAAGTGTCTCTAGGAGAGATGCAGAGCCAAGACGGAGTGCCGCTGGTCAGTCTTACAGCAACAGCCAATGTGGAAGTGGCTGAGGAGCGCTGGGTGTTGGTGTACCAGGAAGGTCCGGGCGTTACGTATACAGGGATATTGCTGCCACAGTTGGAGACCCTTGCTATAACGGAAGGTCTATTAGGTGCGTATGCTGCAATTCGTAGTTAGTTTTCTGTAACTTTTGAACAAGTGAAGTTAATCTCTAATACATTTGTAGTTTACAATACAGACGTTAAATTCCATTATGTTTTCTCTCTTTTAGGGGTATTACCTGCGCAACTTACTCTAAGCGCAGCAATTGAAACCTTTGTAATCTACTTTGAACGTCATCTAAGCAACCTCCAAGAGCACTACACCAGCATGGTGGCCACAACGGACTTCAGCAGTTTGGTTGATGTCTCTGCTCCCGTGCCAAGTCAAATCAACCTGGATCAGCATTTCTACTTACAGCGACTGTTGCCAGCCTTGTCGTGGTCTGCTGATGTCGGTAGTGAGACTCGGTTGGAGATTTCCGTCTCTACGTCTTACGTGGAAAGGGTCATCCTGATATCCTTCGTCCTACCTGGTGAGTATACTCAACTTGTATTTACCCAATGTTTCCAGGTCATAGACATTGTTACATAGTTCCGCCTTGTTACAACGGTGAAGGTTAGATATCTAGGTAATAAGGTACGCCAAAAACAGATACTCAAGCAGCCGGTCATGATTCTCCCCTTTCTCTGACGGAAGCTTGCTTGATAAGTTTGCTTGATTATTAACTGTATTTGGCGTTGTCTAATGTATCGTTCATCTAGACCATAGGATCAGCATGAAAGTTCATCTGAGTTGGTAATTTACATTATGAAAAATTTAAACTGTTCTCCAACTCACAAATTTCACTCACCGGAATTTGCAACTGAATCACTCAGTCTTCCTTGGCTCTCTGACCCAAATGCTGTAGACACGTGATTTTTCTCACGTGTGACGTCAGCAAAGGGTCAAAGGTTGTCTGAAGTCGATATCGCCCCCCCCCCGTCCCGGTTAAGCGATAGGATGTTTGTGTCTAAATTTAAAAAATATTTCTGAGACATGGTCTTTCCTGGAATCCTACAGGGCCCATCGACGGGATGTTCGGGATGTGGAGTACGTGGTCGGAGTGCACGGCCACGTGTGGGGCGAGCGTCCAACTCCGCAGCAGGACCTGTGACAGTCCAGCGCCGCAGAACGGGGGCCGGTACTGTGAGGGAGACGCCTCCGAGTTTAAAGTGTGCGTCGGTCAGGATTGCCCGCGCGGATGTAAGTCTTTTGATTATACGTTCACTTTGATATGGCTAGCCTTTGAGACTCTAGCAGGGCTTGATTGAAGAGACTCCTTTTATACAACCAAGTGTTTTATTCAGTCGACGTTTCGGTGACCGTCTGTCACCTTCATCGGGGTAAATCGGACTGGTTTACATTGCACAGCATTACAGTAATCTGAATGAACATACATGAATGGGATTCAAAACATGCTGTGTCTGTGTGTTAAATACCATTCACACGTCAATTTTCTTTTCACTCAACGGCAACTCATCTGCGAATGAGGAAGAAGAAAGCCGATAATTTCAATATACATATATTCTAGAACGCTTTCTAAAATATTTTAAAAGATTACAAAAGTGATTTTTATTGTAATGTTTGCTTCTGCCCTCTGTAGCTGTGGACTGGTGTGACCCCACGGAGGATCGGTGCGGCTCGAGGTCGCACGGCGGAATTTGCGCCATGAGGAGGCGGGACTACACCTGTTATTGCCAGAGCGGCTACAACCGGGTCACCGACAACCTGGGCAACTTCCTGCGATGCGTGGGTAAGTCCCGAAAATGATGTTAGAAATACAATCTTCTGGAATTAAGAAAGGGAGGACTATAATATGTTGTCATTACCTATATAATGCTCTCAACCTATGTGTGTGCGTGTGTGTGTATGTATGTATGTATGTATGTGTTTGTGTGTGTGTGTGTGTGTGTGTGTATGTATGTATGTATGCGCGCGCGCGCGCGCGTGTGTGTGTGTGTGTGTGTATGATTGTAAGCATTGCTGACACGTCAGATACGACTATAACCTGGATAACCATTGAGAAGAGCTGTACGTAAGAGCAAGGATGCTTGGCCAAGTGAAAACTGATGTAGAATGTGCAATGCTAATAAAGCATTCTAGCAACCACGATACACGTATGAGTGCATTGTTGTTGTTTTTTATTGCTGTGTTCTAGATGTTGACGAGTGCAGGACCGGCCTGTCGAACTGCGCCCCTGGAGTTGGGATCTGTAGCAACATCCCTGGTAGCTTCAGGTGTAAATGTCCCAAGGGTTACACCGGCGACGGCACTGTCTGTACAGGTAGGGGCATATTGCGAGACGGCAACTCATGGTATATTCACAAATAGCCACAATGTATACATCCCAACAACGTTACTGATGATGGCATCTGCCTTCTCTTCAGATTTTTGACAGGAAGTCAACATTGCAATGTAAACAGATTACACGCACACCTTTGTAATACAATCACACAACGACTTCTGAAAACAAAGCTGAAAGCACAATAACATAGTAAATTGCTCTTAGATGCAAACTTCTTAGCTTTGAAACAGGAATGCAGAAACAATCTTATTTGTACGTTGATGACGATTAAAATTTCCACCTGTCTTCAGAGACTGATCACAATGCACTGGCGAAAGATCTAGAAAGTGGATGCTATATAAAACTGCTGACTCAGTTAGAAATTCACCTTTTTGTTTGACTCAATCTTTAAAATGTTTTTATGTAAAACTTGAAAAATGATTTTTTTTCTTTACCAGACATCAATGAGTGCCTGGACCCGGCACTGTCCAAGTGTGACGTGAATGCAGACTGTACCAACACCATAGGCAGCTACTCCTGCGCGTGCAAGGACAACTTCGTCAGCGTTGTTGATGCCGGTACAGCGTTCACTGGAGAATGCAAAGGTAGGCCGATACAACCATATCTACTTATACAAAGGAAGAGCAGTAAATCGCCTATATAGTATATGGCATCGTCAAAATGGGTATGTTGCTTTGTGGGAGTTGGGGCAAGCTAGAGTTTGGGTTTACGCTGGTACCTCGTAATGTTAAAACATGACGTGAAGGAATGGCGTTATAAGAAATGTCACGTAACATGTATTTGTATATTATTTGCTAGCTACATGTGTGGTGATGGCCTTAATTGATACGACATATATTCGATTGTCATAAGAAATGAGTACTAGTATATATTTTGTAGTCATGTTGGCGTGTTTTTTATTTGTTCCTCACACACTTACATCAACATCTTACACGTTCTACTTTACTACTGATTCGTTCCTGATACACCGAATGGTTTCCAACGTTGTGAACGTCAGGAAGTAAGTTGTAATCCGCTTTTGCTGATGTCAAAAGCTGTTACGGTGTGATCGGCAAGGGTCGCTGGATAAAAGATAAAGCTGCGCAAGATGCTTCTAGTAGGCATTTAGTGGGTCTTGAAAATACTTCTTCTACACCATGTACTTATTCTTGGTTTTACGCTGCTATTTTGCCAAAAGCATGGTGCCCATGGTGCCGGTGGAAGAATCATCACATTTCATGCACATACAAGCGGTGGCTGTAGCAAAGGCAATAGAGTGGGTTTTAATGGTCCCATTTGCCCATAAATGTATGTTATGTTGAACATTTTTCAACCACAAAAACATCTATTAGCATTATCGTTACTTTTCGAAGTTCAGTGATGACCAAGGACACGGAATGTTCTCAATAATACAGTCCAAATTTAATCAAAATGGCATTGATCAAAAAAGAATGTTTGCATGTCTTCTACATCCAAACGTTAAGAAATGTAACAGTACGATCACGATGAGTTCATACACTCAGATTACCGTGACTCAGGAGGAATGAGTGAGGCTCTGTCGTTGATTAGCGGCAACAGCTTCAAGCTACCCGTAAGCAAAGTTAGTTAGCTAGTGCAAATGGATTAATAGTACTTGTGCTACAAATGGAATTGGCTTTACAAACGCTCTTTTACTCCATCAGCTATCGACCTGCTCCCGTATGGTGCCGTTGCTGGAGACTTCCAGCTGTACATCACCCTGCACTACATCTGGCAGGTCATGCCGTTCTTCATCCCTGAAGTGGTGTCTCCTCCCATCTATGTGGAATACGGCGTTCCTCTGATGGACGGGAAACTCTTCCACTACATCTGCGTGAGTACTGCTGTTATAGCCCCCGTGAATAGTTTCATCAGGTTGTTAAGTCACTGAGTATAGAGACTCTTTGTACTCAACCAAGGTCTGGAGGAAGGTGACAGTCGGTCACCGAAACATCGGCTGAATAGAAGACTTGGTGGTGTGGAAAGAGTATCTTTACCCTGCTGTTTAATATAGCCTCTACCAGGCTTCGGGGACGGCTGGAAAGAGTAGCAATTGGCCAACAATATAGATTCATTACAGCATTATGGCCACTTTGCATTGCTGTGCTGTTTCGGGCACTTATTATTTTGCCTTGTTCACTTGCACACCGCGTCGGTTATTCAACATGAACCTTAATCAGATATAGGTATGTTTACGAACTTCAAGGAAAACATATTGTTTTTGCTGTTTCCTCTTTTTCGTCTTCTCCAAAAAATAGAGTCAATGACCTGAACCAGACGTCTGTCACCATGGTAACTAGTGTTACATTTTGATGCAATTTTATGGCAGGAGGGATTTGGACTCCTGTCTGACCATGCATATAAATGTTTTTGAGTAAGAATTAACAGAGCAGACCATATGCGAAGGTAAACATTATGCATTTGCTAATAGTTACTATTTGTTTTTTGATGGCCTGATTACAGATAATAGAGAACGGCCTTGTAGTCATGAGTGACCGGCAGATTGTTGTGCCAGCGTTCCGGAACCCCGTGCAGTTATCCTCCGTCCTCAGCGGTGTGAGCGCAGACAACATCGCCGTGTTCGCGCCCTTCTGGACCAACAACCGATTCTACAATCTCTTACCTGGGCACGCGCCGAAGGTTAGTAAAATATATTGTTATTTGGGTATTTGCAATTTATTCTTAATAAATATGTCTTCGTACAGACACTTTAAAAAATGTTTCTGAAATATCTAAATAATAATTATGTTAATATTAAATGTATTTAAATTTTCTTTTCAGTTTGGTGAAAAAAACGAATTATTGTGATTAAAATATTATCATATTATTCGCTGCGCTCACTCGGTGGCTTAATTCGGTGGTTATAGCAACTGACAAGGTTTTATCACACCATATTCACCTCGGGGCGGGTCATTAACCCTTAATTAATACGATTAATACGATTATCATTATTCAAAAACCCTCTTGGTGACTATTACTTGTAGTGCTTTTAATTATTCACAGTTACTACATGTTTATAGGTTGTGAAATTAGAAAAATCATAACTGTGATGTTCAGGGGTTCAAAGCTTTCTAGTGATGATGTCCCAACTGTGCTTGGTGGCAACGAATTCCAGTCTATGATAGTTCTGGGGAAATACGAGTTTTTGATTACCTCAATTCTTGGTTGATAACTCTGATATTTGAAGGCATGACTGTTTCTTGTTTTTTTCTGGGCTGGTAACCTAACTAATATAGAAAAATCTTGACTTTGTGCTGTTAAGTGGTTCATATGATACATTGTGTGTCTGCTCCTCAGGTGTGGTACCAGACGTACACAGTGCTGTCCCATCCCGTCATGCTGATCGTGAACAGCATCGTGCAGCAGCTGTTCTCTCCCACCCGCTCCTTCCGTGCCAGACTCGTTCTGATCGTCACGTATGACAGCATGGTGCCGCCATGGACAGCAACAACCCTGGAGGTCAGGATTTGGTTACATGTACATTTAAAACGTTTAGCTTGCCTTCTTTTCCTTTTTTTCGTACAAAATATATGACGTGCATTCTCTAGATATCTGATCTAGATTCTTCTTTGTCTTCGATTTGGTTTCGGTAACAGTGGTGTATTTCATATGTTGCTTATTGCATATTCAAAATACAAAGATATGACACAATTATATAATATGGTTACTGAGTCATTCATTTTCAGGGACAAATAAGTTGGCATTTACCGCTTTCACCACATTCTCCTTTCATACTACGTAGTCTTTTTATAAGGTAAATTAGTAGTTTACATCATAGTTTCCATACATTAGTTGTAAAGAACGTTATACAATAGTTGTGCAATGAAGTTTACTTTAATCTCCAATTCATCCACAGGTGAACACTGTCCAGTTGGTCATCACCACGGACTACGTGCACACCTACGTGTTCTACAACTACCCCCGAGGGCGGATGAGATGGACCCCCGTGTACAACACTAACCTGGTGCAGTTCTACTCATTCCCGGTACGGATCGGATTCGTCATCAGGTATGTAACTGTTTAGAAAAGAAAGAGAGAAAGAGTTGTGAAAGACAGAAATGTTTAATATACTGTACATCGTGTCAGTACGCCATTTACGTTGTAGTTACGTAGTTTTAGTTTCCAGGAATTGACTAGTATGATTGTCAAGACCACATTGTCAACCTTTCCATACACTGTACCAGGTACAACTGTCGAGCAATAAAGATCATTCATTCATTCATTCACTCACTCATTCATTCATTCATTCATTCATTCATTCATTCATTCATTCATTCATTCACTCACTCACTCACTCACTCACTCACTCACTCACTCACTCACTCACTCATTCGTTCATTCAGGACTACGAACGCGTTCGGGATCCGCACGGAGTGGAGTGTGGAGGACCCGAACTCCGCTCAGTGGTCCCGCATGACCGGACGGCCCAACGCTTTCAGAATGAGCGACGTTCTACCGACTGGGCGTCTGTACTACCGCGTGGAGACCAACAGCGACACGTGGGTCAACCCCAGGCTGGCCTGCCAGGATTGGTTTGAGGTAAGGCGATTTATAACTTTATTTATTCATTTGTCGCATTTACCTATTTGTATTCTCTTGTACTCTGTAATAAACTAGTGGGTACAGAGCCCGATTTGCATTCGCGGAGGACCTCCACCGAATCATATACCAAAGGCTTTTAACATAATCAAAATCGGAGCAAACTGCGTTCTTGTGACAATGTGTTTTCTTATGTATGTGCTCTTCAAATTGTGGTAATTGGACAGGCACCACTATCAGTGGACTAGCTATAGCCTCTTCTGTGTATATTCTGTACAACTGTGTGACCCAAGGGGTATGGATGCGGAGATGCGAAACGCCCTATACACGAAAGGTACGGAAAGGTTTTAATGGCCAACTTAAAGAGTTCCTCCAAAAATGTTCACGTTACACAGTTTGTCTGACAAGAAATCTATTATTCCCAGAATGAGGATGACCCCATGACGTGGGGCTCGTCGCTGATTGGACGATGCCCCCCTACCATGGCGCATGCTCTGCAGGAGTACGGCACCTTCACGACCACGCCGAGCGACTACCCAAACACCATCTGCTTCACAAGGCTATTCCAATCTTCATCAGGTCTGTAAAGGATGCTTATCTTGGATCTAAAGGTTCTGGGTTCGAATCCCTAGCGGGTCCAAACCCCCACACTTTGCCGTTTGGAATCTCTAATATGATGCATACATATGAATTTCGAATAAGAATTGCAATCATTATTTTACATAGCTAATCATCGGACAATCTAAAGATTTGAGTTTCAATTCTGTGTGACTTAACAACGTAAATATTGAAAGGTTACGATACTTTTCTTACACTACGCCCAGTTAATTGAATTCTCTCCATTGTGCAGTATCAAGTTATACTGTGCTACATTACCACAGAGTTTCGTTATTGCATACTTAGTCTTTACATTTGCAGGAGGAAACATGGATTGTTGCTACGACATATTCACCGGATCCCTTCTTGGACAAAACCGTGCGAACAGCGGTGCTGGCTTTCTGCGGCGTTATGAGAGGGTAACATGCCAACTCATCCTACTCTAGATTGCCCTTTCGATGTATTTACTCATCACCATCATTATTTATATGTCCTGACAAAGTTTTAATCGCTTCCACTTTCAATTCTTTATTTTGTGGTAAAATTTCTTTATTTCAGACCTCCCTATCGGACACGAGCAGCATGTATTACACCCAAGAATACCTGCCGTACCAGTGGTGCACGGTTCAGTCACGTTCCACCGCTTACCGAGACAAGTATGTCAGCAGACGGGTCATGTCATCTAGTAGGTCTTACACGATGGTGATCCAAGGTAAGAACTGAAAAAGCTTGGTCAAATTTTTCTGGTAGTATAAACCATCCACAATGTAAAAACTACCGTCATTGTATGAAATGCAACATTTAAGCATACCTTAAAACGTAGGCCAACTGAAATAAACAGTGCCTTAAGGTAATTGCGTAAATGTCGGAGTTCAATATATGTTAGTTTATGTTTTGAAGTCTTCATTAATATTGCAAGAGACAAATAACATCATCAAATGAGTAATGTTTACCTTCGCGTATAGTCTGCTCTGTTAATTCTTACTCAAACACATTCATATATGTGGTCAGACAGGAGTCTAAATCCCTCCTACTAGGAAATTGCAACATGATGTAACCCAACACTAGTTACCATAGTGATAGACGTCTGGTTCAGGTCATTGACCTTATTGGTTTGGAGAAGAAGAAGAAGCAGAGGAAACAGAGCAAAATAATATGTTTTCCTTTGATAAACATAACTACATTTACGGTAAAAAGCTGTTACTCAAGCAACTGGATATGATTCATATGATATCATATCCAGTTGCTTGAGTAACTGCTTTTTACCTATCTTATTACCTGGATGTCTAACCTTCATCGACGTATAACTACATTTATGATACACATAGGTACCGGATATGGAGACCCTCACATGGCCACCGCTGATGGCGTCGAATTCACTTTTAACGGCTACGGGGAGTACGTCCTACTGCGCAGCCGCAGTAGCGCCCCCTATCAGTTCGAACTGCAGGGGCGCACCGCTCAACCTTCGACCCGGAATGAGAATGTCAAAGCTACAGTTTTTTGGTAAGACAATCTTTTTCTTATTATCTTAAAGCAGAATTTTTGCCTATTTTAAGGCAATGATTTTCAAATGATTTTCAAATCATTGCCATGTATTGTCTTAGGTTTGCATGCACACTACTATATGCATGCACTAATACTCGTCGAGGAAAGCAACCTCTGCGTCCTTATAAAATGTAATCTACGAGACTATCCTTTCAGTTCTGATGAAAGATGAAGGATATCGTCTGAAAGCTACTTCAGCTGAAAGTTTTTTTTTTATTTGAGTTGAAACCACACTATCCCAATGTATATATTGACCCTCAAGTTGAACATACTTCTGTATAATGTCCTTGCCCTCATGGAGCACAAGTTCCCAAATTTCCGACGGAAAATGGTTACTGAAAGGGCCCTAGGCTGATTTTTAGGGTACAACCCAGAAAATAAAGGACTCATCTTGGGCCTTGTTTCTGCAGTTTTGAACGCCCAAATTATGAAATGCGCTAATGTGAAGCAATATGTATCAATATGACAAAGATTGCCTTATTCAGACTTTTTCCAGTTTTGCTGCCCTTAAACCGCATTGTCATTGAATGCCTTTAATATACTCTGTAGTGCCTTTGCCCTCCGACAACCGAACGACACAGTGGAAGTGTTCCTGAATGGGGATTCCAGCAGCTTCCGGATCCGGGTCAACGGTCAGGAGGTGCCGATCTCAGGAATCATCGACGGCAGCAGGAGCACATTTGGAGATGGCAAGATCTTTCCCAGATATGGTAAATACCTTCATTTATTACGAAACAAGTTTGAACTGCAATATCCAACACAAGAAATTGGACTCACCCAAATCTTCGACTGTGCAACTCCGGATCCAGTCTTTGTCAACGCAGATAACACACGTGACTCCGTGAGCAGTGGATCATAGGTTGCATAAAGTCTGTGACGCCCCCCGTCTCTGTCTACCTCAATTTATATATGTGTAACAAACGATGCCTAAATAGGCTGATGGATTTTAGAAATTAATCATGTCAACTGTATCTTTGGTATTATTTGACCAACCCTTAAACCTCTTCATGCATGATGACGTCATTGTGAAAAACTACCGGCAAGTCTTAAACAAACAATTTGTGTTTGGGTTAGAGGAAGTTTCTTGAGAAAGGCACTTTACACGACTTTCCTCACTTAACTCAAGTGAAAATGAGTATTGTTCTGTCCTGTATTTGTACTCTGTGTTGGTGGCGGTATAAAATAAGTTGATGTAACTTGAGTGCGCCGTCACCATGTTTGGTCATGAAATGTTGGAATATAAAAAAATGTCTTTCTTTACAAGTCATAAGCCTGCCCAAGGAGGCTGTTTGTCGATCTTCTTTGCGTAATGTCTCGCGAAGCCTTTTCCCAATCTTACCAACTTTTTTCGTGTTCATAGCTACGAGTAACGGCAATAACCAGACAACCCCGAACGGCCTCCTTGTGTCCTTCCCGTCGGGCGCCTCTGTCGTCATCACGTTTTCCAACGGCGTGATGACGTACACGGTGGGCGTGGCCCAGGACATGCAGGGCCAGCTCGAGGGCATGCTGGGTAATTTCGACGGCCGTTACCTTGGAGATTTCGCCTACCCTAACGGAACGCTCGTCCCATTGGCCGACCCGAGGAATCCGAAAGAAGAGGAAGTATTCCATTTTGGAAATACGTGTAAGTGTAGCCATAGTATGGCATGGTTGATATAATTATACAAAGACCCATGGAAGCTTTTCATTGACACCCTAATAATATTATGTTGTATTACCAAAAGAATTCCAACTACCAGGTGTTGGCTTGTACATGGTAACCTGACATTGCTCACATGGCGTCACTTGAAAAGCCTTTATACATTTGCAATTTTCAGTCGCATGGATGACTTTTTAACAATATCAATAAGATTAGTAAGACATAAAATGCCATTTGCAACCGAAAGATCGTTTCAAAAGATCTAATACAAGTTTGTTTGCATGTTAAGTATTGACTGAGAGCAATCATTTGTGTCATATGTTCTTTAAACGAAAACCTTAATTGTGCTTCAAAATCAGAACAATCAATTGTATTGTATGTGCTTTAAAATGGGAACCTTGCCTATTTGCCTATATATTTTGTACTAATGATTGCCAATAACTCTGTCGACAGGGTCTCTCCGATCACTGAGCGCCTTTGACGGCAAAAGCGTCACCGACACGAGCCTCTTCACCTACTACCCAGAAGGCACTTCGGCGATGACGTATGGCGACGACTCGTTCCAGCCGACGTTCTTCGGGGACGACCTGACGGCCCTGTTCGGAGACCCGTCGCTACAGGTATTTCATATATGTCTGTAATTGTTACTTTTAATGTTGAACTTGAAACTGTTATTTTTAGGTATTTAATGTATAATGATATGGATTTTATTGAATAACTTAGCAATTGTTAATATGTTATGCCAGATATGTCAAGAAATCAAGTTGTACAGCAAAACACAATTTAGCCACTGGCTACAAGTTCTTGTTTTGTTTTCACAAATAAACCATTTGATTGATTGATTGATTGATTGATTGATTGATTGATTGATTGATTGATTGATTGATTGATTGATTGATTGATTGATTGATTGATTGATTGATTGATTGATTGATTGATTGATTGATCGATCGATCGATTGATTGATTGATACAGGCGCAGGCAGTCGCCGTGTGTGGGAGCGTTACAGCTAAGGAGTGTCTGTACGATGTTGCCGTTACGGGAGATCTTTCACTCGGAAACGACACGCTTAATCACGAGAAGGAATTCCAGAAAGCCTGCGGCATACTGAGTAAGCAATAAAGAATTTGTCTTCACTTATTTGTATATCAATCAATAGTTCGTGCTTATAAACTTGCTTTTCTCTAGCAGTCTCTTAGTGTCGCTGATTAAAGGTAGTGAATGCTACCTGAAACGTCTGGTCGTTTCCAAAATCATATCCAGTTGCTTGTCACTGTAAATAAGCAATATTTCTGCCAGATATCAAAGGGCTTTGTGCTGAGTATTACTTTTGATAGTTGGGTGTTCGGTGGCAAGATGTGATCTACATATGCATCAGGGTACATGCCCGCATTGTTATGCCCATCTGTGCGTCATGCCTGTCTAGCAATGCTGTTTTTGCATGACCCTATTACATCGTTTTCCCCTATTAGTCTAATTCTAGTCAGTAAGGTGACCAATTATTTGAGTCACACATCGTCATCACACCCATACCTCGCGTCCAGCTTTTATTTTTAAAACATTTCTTGTTACATCCCATACCTGAAGAATGCTATTTGTGATAAAAGAACACAGAAAGTCATTATTAGTTTGGCTTAGTGGAATAACTTAAGTTGCTCATATCAACAATTCACAATTCTTCCGAAAAATTACTGGAATTTCACAGAAATGTATTTCAGGGACGTAGGACACGATAAATGCACACTTTCAATCTACAATGTTTTATTTGTGAAATAAAGCTTGAATTTTAGTAATCTGAGCCGAAATCCTTAACAAAACCATGTTTACAAATTTCCGGAACTTCTGAAATGTTTTTCTTTTTTTTTATTTCAGTGAACAGCCCTCCCCAGTTGGAATCTCCCACGGAAATAGTCGCCTACGTCAATCAGGAGTACAACGTCACGCTGAACGCGACAGACGACCACGACAAATTTGTGACGTATTCCGTGACAGGAAACGGGACCGTGGTGAGGACCGGCAACCTGACGGCGAGCTTCAGCTGGCTGCCCGTCTCGGCCGACAAGGCGTCCGTGCAGTTTACCGTCACAGATTCTACCGGGGCTTCCACTTCCAGTACACCAAAGTTAACGGTAAGATAGACTCATCATGAAACTTCATCTATGTTGGTAGTTCTGTATCTGTATTAGTATCAGTATAGCCGGTATAACCGTCCTTCGGCGTAACACACCAGCTACAGTTACATGTTTAGAGTTAACACTTTAGATCCAACACGAGAATTTCTCTCACCTAGAGCTTTCTGAGTCACTCTGATCTTCCTCAGTACACTGACTCAGTGAGGCTTATCACGTGGCTTCTTTGAAGTGTGACGTCAACACTGGGTCAAGGGTATTTGGTAGACGATGTCGGCCCCCGTCGCGGTTAAGTCAGGGGTGATGGGCCCTGATGTAAATAGCCCCCTTCACCCCTCTCGGAAAATAGCTGTCAACACTAAACGTAGACTGATATTCTAAAGGATATAACCTTAACTATTGTTACGTATTACATAGATATGTGGATGCCAAAACAACAGTTTAGTATCATGTTTACCCTAACCTTAACTATTTTTACGTTACATAGATATGTAGATGCCAGAACAACACTTTAGTATCATATTTATCCTAACCTTAACTATTGTTACGTTACCTAGATATGTGGATGCCAGAACAACGGCACGTGCGCGTTTGACCTGATCGTGGAGCGGGAGAACGGGTTCGCGGTGTCGCCGTGTACCTGCGTGTCCGGGTTCGGCGGAGACCTGTGCGAGGAGGACGTCAACGGATGTGCCGACAACCCCTGCTTCCCAGGTAAGGATGCTCAGTTATATCAGCAAATTAACAAAATTGGGAAAACTAGAGTTCCCCAGGGCCTATCAATCTACCAATATGAAGACAAACAATCTTAAGCTTCTCGAGTTATCGTGTTGACACACACACAGACACACGAACGCCAACGAAAATATAACCTTTAAGTTAATTCTTGACGAAGGTAAAAATTTCTTCATTGCATGCAGCTATTTGCCAAGGGCCCGGTCACTGTCGTGGTCGTACGATCATCGTAGACCACAAACTAAGCGCACTGTCGTGTATGTGTCGCCACACAGAATTCTTGTTACCAGAATGATACCTTTTGGATTTTTTTTTGGCGGTGGGTTTTGTCACAGCCAGCTTGAAAATGCTGCGACATCAAATTCGTTCTATGACCTACAATATGATCAATTTGATGAGGTATTACCAAAGGAATTACCAATAACTTCGCGGTTTTTGTCTTAGGAGTAACTTGCACGGACGTTAAGGGTGCAATCAACGTCACAGCCGGTGAAAAGGGTTTTAAATGTGGACCCTGTCCGAAAGATACCACTGGGGATGGGGAGACATGTGAAGGTAAGAACCAAGGCTACACAAAAACTTTGCCTTACCAATTGTGTTTGTCAAATAAAGTCATACCACGTGTAATAGATGGAAATCAATTATATGATATAGTTTTCGACAATAATTTCATCTAGAAAAGGCTGTTAGGTAGAACATAGCATATTAGGGTTATCTTTTTACAAAACTGGAATACTAGCAGTCTCTCATCTGCCTCAGTTTCGATGCCATCTTCCCAAGAGTTTCTGACTGGAGTACTGCTTCTCGCCGCAAAAGCGCCACCTAATTTGGCTACATATAGAGCTGAGAAGCAGTCAGAAGCTTCGAGGAAGGTATCAGACAGGCATCAAAGCAGATGGGAGGCTAGTCAGGTTGTTTAAATGTGTATATTATTATTTTCCAGACTTGGATGAGTGCCTGTTGGAGGTTGGAGACCCCCGTCGGCACCAGTGCGTGAACGCCAACTGTGTCAACACTCCCGGCAGCTACTCCTGCGTCTGTAAGGAAGGCTACCACAAGGACGGGGAAGACAACGTGTGCTACGGTAGGGCAGGCCTTACCTTAGACCTTACGTCCCCCTGTGCCTACCGGCAGCAAGCTTCCATCTAGGTGTAGCGGCTGCTGCCTCCTCATAGCCTGGAATCCATCCGTGCACGCTGTGTCTCCGCTCCGTTCCTCTGTTCTGCCTTGTGAAGACAGAGCGGAGGAACGGAGCGGAGACACAGCGTGCACGGATGGATTCCAGGCTAGCCTCCTCAGCCTCTTCCCAGGTTATGTTTGACCTCTTAAGGTCCCCTTGAAAGGTTCTTCGCCAGGTGTTCTTTGGCTGACCTCTCTTCCTTCTGCAGTCTTAGAGTGGCGCTGGCTTAATAGGCGTAGGAACTTAAGAATGGGTTGACAGCACGTGGATGGGGGAGATTGCCAGAACAGTAGGAGGCCAAAAGGTCAGATACAGGAAATGGGATCGATGTAAAAGTCCCAATGTATTTCCCGAACATCTGAACTCTCTGATTTCTTGATTGTTGTTCTTTCTGCAGACGTTGATGAGTGCCGAAGTGATGACACGAACGATTGTGACTGGATTTTCGGCTACTGTAACAACACGGACGGCGGCTACGAGTGTCTGTGTGATCCCGGGTTCATCAGTTACGACGGTGGATTCACCTGTGAAGGTAAGGATACCACTTCATCTGCCTATACACAACGTATGGTTAAGTTTTGCCTGTTTTCTTCGTCTTTGTTTTATCCCCTTGCTAGTGAAAGTGAATTGTGGTATCCACTTTTGACTAAAGGCCCTCTTCTTATATGCTATAAATATATATTTTGTAATTAATGTTGCAATTTTTTTCAAAAGGTCATAATTGTTCAAATTAGTGGAGGTAGACACTCTGTTTATAAAAGAATGTTTTAGAATTTTCGGGAACGTTTAACGTTTCTTTTCCTAAAATCGCAAAACATTTTCTTACTCAAAGTGATAATTTATATCACCTTCCTACTTTCAGATTTTGACGAGTGCTTGATTGATAACGGTGGTTGTGAGCGGATCTGTATAAACAACGAGGGCAGCTATGAGTGTGACTGTGGGGTGGCGTACATTCTGACATTTGACGAACATACTTGTGAAGGTAAGGGAGAAACTATGCTTAAATGTTTTAAATTATAGATTACATGTATGTTAAGTTTACGGAAACTAAACGTTATATGTTAAAGTACAACAGCACAAGTCAGACATTGTTCAGAGAGCTCAGGGTCGTTGCTTGTGCTTGCCGGCATGCCAAACACACATCATTATCATCATTATAATACTTTCAGGTTGGCAGTTTTATTTACCCTGATGCGTAATTTAGCAATACCCTCATGCTTACATGTTGCATGACTGGTTACTATCTTAAATTTACATCTTGGGTCCCAACACAATTTTTTGCATCTTTTGCAACTTTGCATCTTTATAAAGTTACAACTCGTAAAACCAAAGCAATTTTTTATTATGTTATTATTGAAAACATGACAAATTTAAACAGGTAAAACATGCAATTGTCTTTTAACTGAAATGCAAAAATATTGTAAACAAGATGTCTTTCTGAACACATTCCGGTTAACTTTTATTGACGTTTTTCTACAGAACTTGATGAGTGTGCGACCAACACCAAGTGCGAGTTCTACTGTGATGACTTCGTGGGCCACTATGAGTGCCACTGTCCAGACCTGTTTCTGGCTGATGAAAACGGAAGAACCTGTAACCGTAAGTAATAATGAACTTCAGATTGCATGAACCTATGCACGTCTTGCACGTCTATATCTCTTTGTGTTGAACCACAGCCTAGTAAACCTTTATAGGAAGGGCAATAAGGGTCAAGCGAGGCCAACCTGTCTTAACAAAGATCATTGACTGATCGATCTATCGATTGATTGATTGATTGATTAATTGAAATTAATCAATCAAATCGTTTGCATCTTTTGCAAAATGAATACCTAATATCCCGCTTGGGCACGGTTGCGAAGGTTAATGGCGACTTACAGCCTGTGTGCGTGCGTGAGCGCTCGGGTGTGTGTGTATGTGTATGAGGGGCTCTAGGGGTTTGCCGGTCTTCTCATCATGGTAATCCTAATAAAGTTTAATAAGTGCTTGCGCCTTTTTTTTAACATCAAACTTGCAAAATCGCCAGCATTCGTCAACTGCAGCGCAGAAAATACCTGTCACCCTGCACCCATCGGGGCATGCGCACAAAACTGGACCACAGACGAGGACACGTGTTTTTGCACGCGGGGCTACGAACTACAACCGGACAACTCCTGCCGAGGTAGGCGTTTGTTTTATTATCCAGAACCATTCTTTATCCAGAATCGTGCCCAGAACCGTGTCTGGGACCCCCGGGGCAAATCAACGTTCTTGTATTAGTTTGGACTATCCAGAACCGTTCCTGATCTTACCCCAAACCCATTCATAGAACAAGCTAGACACGGTTCAGGACACCAAAGAAATTATTCATAGGCAAGATGACAGGCTCTAATATGACCGACAAGTGACGTCACAAGCCAATATGGCGGCAACCATTGACTGAAGGGTAAAGCAGTATAGGATTGATTTTGCTGTCGTTAAATCATATTTCTAAAGACCCAATTCCTGCATTGCAAACAGACATCGACGAATGCACGAACGGGGATGCCCGGTGTGACGAGAACGCCCTCATGTGTGTGAACATCCCTGGCGACTACAGATGCATCTGCAAGGACGGCTATGAGCACTCCGTCAGCCACGGACTCCGCAAGTGCCACAGTACGTACGGACTAACAAAAGCTTGGCAACATCACCGTGCTATATGATACATTATATATATAATGATGAAGAAACGGGTTGATGAAGGTTTTAGCTAGCACTTTATTGAAGTCCTCTTAACCATCTTAAAGCATCTTTAAATCCTTGTGTGATGGTCAATTTATATACATCAACAATAAGGCACTAGCACATCTGTATCTGTATCTGTATAGCCGGTATAACCGCCTTTCGGCGTAACACACCAGCTTCATGTTGTGAAAAGATAGAATTAGAAGTCTAACCGTGTCTAACTTAAAGCTTGAACAGCATTAGCGTGGGTACCATCGACCTAGTGTAGGAGCAGACGTAAACTAACCAGGATGGTACCCAGGCTAAAACAGCATTACTCTGGTATAAAGCACGCATTCAGCCGCTACATGAAAATGTATGTTATTTTGTTCACAATAAGCATGGCTTCACTCCTATCTCTTGTCTGTAGACATCAACGAGTGCAAGGTTAACTACGGGAACTGCTCTCACGAGTGTGAGGACACCATCGGCTCCTTCTACTGCGACTGTCCGAAAGGCTGGAGACTCGGCAGCGACAAGAGGACGTGCGAAGGTGACGTTTTGTTGATTTATTTGCAGGTCCCTCTCGATTGTTTGTTTGCACTTCATCCTGGATCGAACTCTTTCGCTTTTCCTGTCGCTCCCAGTTTAAAGCGTGCTTTGCTAGTCAGGTGGAAGTCCTGCAACATGTTTTAGCAGATCATTGTGGACTTAAAACATATTTTGATGAGTACCTTTCTTCCATTGCCACAGATATAGACGAGTGTTCGTCTAACGAGTGGAATGACTGTAGTTACAACGCTGTGTGTAACAACACGATCGGAGGATTCATGTGCAAGTGTCTGGACGGGTTTGAAGGAGACGGATCTCTGTGTGGAGGTGAGAAAACAGCATTCGTTTTCTGTGCATTGAGACAGCTGGTAACACTGTTGAAGTGATAGTTTCTTAATAGTTTAGTTGAATAGTTTCTGTTGGGTCGTTTAACATAGCTGTAGAGTGCACGACTCGGAACCAAGAGGTCCCGGGTTCGAGTCCTTGAAGGCACTTGACTCGACTTTCCTCTCTTAACTCAGGTGAAAATGAGTACTGTCTTGTTCTGTATACGTATTTGTCCTCTATCTGCGTTGGGGACGGCATAAAATAAGTAGATATAACTTGAGTGTGCCGTCACCATGTCTAGTCATGAAATGTTGGAATAAAAAAAATATAGTTTCTGAGGTATTAAAAACTGTACTGTATCAAATTTTCTGTTGATTAAGAAACCAAGTCAACAGTATGTAATTTACAATGATGTCTTTTATCTTACCACGTACACTGGTTATTATAAACGGATGTTTATGTCACAGCATTTCTACTTTTTATAACCTGTTTCAGATATTGACGAGTGTATCCAGCTGGGTGAGCGCGGACAGGGCGGCTGTGAGGTCGGCTGTGAGAACTTTAACGGCGGCTACGTCTGTACCTGCGGCACGGGGTATCAGCTCACGAACGACACCGTCTCGTGCGAAGGTAAGGTGTCTTTTACTATCCTGAAAGTTCATCTGTGTTGGTAGTTACATGTTTAAAGTTAAAACGTTTGGTCCAACACGAAAAAATTCTCTCACCTAGAGCTTTCGACCAGTCACTCTGGTCTTCCTCAGTAGACTGACCCAGTGAAGCTTGTCACGTGGCTTCTTTGAAGTGTGACGTCAACACTGGGCCAAAGGTATTTGGTAGACGATGTCACATGGTAGACATCAGGGCCCATCACCCTACATTGAACCGCGACGGGGGCCGACATCGTCTACCAAATACCTTTGACCCAGTGTTGACGTCACACTTCAAAGAAGCCACGTGACAAGCTTCACTGGGTCAGTCTAGTGAGGAAGACCAGAGTGACTGGTCGAAAGCTCTAGGTGAGAGAACTTTTTCGTGTTGGACCAAACGTTTTAACTTTAAACAAGGTGTCTTTTACTTACTGATAAATCCATTATCCTGAGTGGATAACTCAAGCAGATTCTACGATTAAGTTAAGTTCCTTCCCGCACGAGGTGGTGGTACATAGGGCGGCGCCCATCTCTAGTTCAGTAGCCTTTGGGCCACACAATTGTGCAATCACTACAGCAGGTCACTAAGGACACAATTAAGGGCACCACAGCAATGCCCTTAATTGTGATTTCTTATTATTTTACATAATTTTTACTAATAAATTGTATTGCACAACAATACAAGGTACAAAATATGACAAAACTCCTGGTACATATACTTTCATAGGATAATCTACCTAATACAAGTAACAAAAGAGTGTGTAGTATGGAATGAGAATATTTAAGTAGTATGCGATGAAAATGGGTTTTTAAAATTATACGAGTGATTTCTAACGCCTAGATGATCTTATAACATCTGCAACATATACAGTAAATCTTTATATGATAATGTGAATCTCTTAACCATATATTTTCGTCTCACCACAGACATTGACGAGTGCATGATCCCTGAGACATGTGAACAGAAGTGTAACAACACCTTGGGATCCTACTTCTGCTCCTGTACGGAAGACTACACCTTACGAGAAGACAGGAGGACCTGCCGACAGAACAGTAAGTCTGCGTTTATGCTTTAACTCCTGTCACACATTCAAAACCTTTTGAACACCAGTGTTCGGGAGCAGTCTGACCATATTCGGGCCACGATTGACTTGAATTGGACTAATGCTAATAAGACTGGACTTAGATGTAAACTTTTAATGTGCCATGAGCTCTTTTTAACTGAGAAGAAATATTTTGTAATTGTTCGAACACACGAACGAATGCCAGGGGCCTTGTGGCCCGCCCAAAACATGGTGTTTTCTTTTTAATTGTTTAAAGCATTTTCGCATGTATTTTTGTTGCTACTCTTCATTATGATTAATTCTTTTTATGACAATACATTGAAGGGAGTTTGATCCAGTGAGAATAAAACGTCTCTTTTCTAATGTTTTGAAACAGCCAGTGAGTGCAATTTCGGATGTCACGAAAAGGCGGAGTACATCGAATCAAACTCCACATGTGTGTGTCGGCCGGGCTATAGCGGGAACGGAACATACTGCAGCATAGGTAGGTTGATGCAGCCATTCTCCAATTGTAGTTATTTCATTGGTTGAACTGCTGATAGCCATTCTCTCATTGGTTGAACCGCTGATTGCCATTCTCTCATTGGTTGAACTGCTGATAGCCGTTCTCTCATTGGCTGAATCACTAATTGCCGTTCTCTCATTGGTTGAACTGCCAATAGCTATTCTCTCATTGGTTGAACCAGTAATTCAAATTCCCTCATTGGTCGAACCTCGGTGATTGCTATTCTCTAATTGGCTGAAATGCTTATTGCTATTGTTTTCATTGGTAGACCTGCGAATTGTGATGGACAGTCAGGACCAGTCTATCTCTATCATAAAACTGTTCTAGAAGATGTCTAGAAGAAATTGATCGTGAAAATCTACCCTAGAATGGAATAGTCACTGTCAACCGTATATCTTCTTTTATGTTTCCTCTGCACGACTCTGCATGCAACGTCATAAAACAGTACTTCCGCACAAAGATTTCTGAAGTAGTAAAAGATGTTAACTAAAGACAATTTCACAAAGATTGCTACGATTAAATGGAGAGAAAGGTTTGTATCTATAATATATAAGAAGGTTGAACTACTTCCCTCTCCCCACAGATGACCCAGGCGTGGTTGTTGAAGTGACCCTAGCTGACCTGGAGTACACGGAGGTGCTGGGAGACTGTACCTCCGCCGCGTATATCGAGTTAAAAGGAGACGTAGAAACAGCCGTAAGTAAAGTCGCTTTTCCTCATATAATCAATAATCATTCTTCATATATATATATATATATATATATATATATATATATATATATATAAGTAG